GCCGTGGTTGGCGGAGCACCTGAGCTGGCGCCCGACGACCCCGTCCCAGTGCACTGCTTCCAGGAGGTGCGAAGCGGCGGCAGCGCGGAGCGCAGGCTGACCGCAGTAGTGGTCCTGGAGGCCCAGATCTGGATCAGCGAGGACCCGGAGGGAGGTGGAGCGCGGGCCTCCTAGGCCGCCGCCGGGCCGCGCCGAGACACGCAGGGCGCCCTTTTCATCCCCCGCGCCCGGGTCCTGCTGTCACCCCTGGCTCTCGCTGCTGCTCTTGCTCTTTTTCTTCTTCCTGGGTTGCTCTGTCTTCCTCCCTCGTCCCTCCCCTGCACCCCCCTCGCCCCTAATTACTCTCACCTCTGCCTTCTCGTCATCCTCCCCGTCCTCTTCCCACTCCTCCCATTTCTCCTTCTCCTCCTCCTTTTCTTCACTCCCGGGATCAATTCGTCACTTCTCCACTCTCCTCCCACTCCCCCCACTAGTCCTCTGCCTCTCGCTCATTCCTCTTCCCACTCCTCCTCCTCCTCCTCCTCCTCTGCCTCAACGTCGCCCATGTATCCCTCCCACTTCTATTCGTCATGCCCCTGCTGTCTTCGTCTACGCTGCGCGAACAATCTCGATCGTCGACTGGATCGAGGGATTCAGTGTCCTCATGGGGGCTGGGGTGCGCCCACCCAGGCGCACGTTCCAACCCTCCTCCGCTCATCTTCACAACGCCTGAAGAATCTGAATACCACTCCCCTCTCTCCCCTGAGGATGGCCGAGGAGTGGAACGACCCTCTCCGCGTATTGCTTTCCACACAAGGTTTCAAACATTGATTTGTCTTACGTTGTTGTTGCTGCAATCGGAACGTTTGTGGTGTCTCAAAATGGTGCTACCGCTGCTGCGTTGGTCTCATTTAGGATCGGCGCTTTGCTCCCGTCGTCCAGAATGGCTCTCTCGCCCAGCGCGGGCCACTTTTCTGGATCCGATTGCTTTATTGTGATTGTCGCCCCGCTCCTGCCCCTTGCCACGCCATTCCCTGGTCATCCTGCTCCTGCTTCTCCTACTCCAGCTCTTGCTGCTCTACTTCCTCGTCCTCCTCCTTCCTCATCTTCTTTCCCTTCTTCCTGATCGTCTTCTTGTTCATCTGTCACCTCCTCCAGTGCATGCAGCTCAAATGCTCCGATTACGCACGGCACAATGGGGTCTTTTTGGCAGCTCCAGGTCTGCCATGGCGCGCGTCGGCGAATTGAGAGAACACCAGCGTAATGGGGAGAGATGAGTTGGAGGGTTAGGACGTCAGATATGGCGCGAGGGCACCTCACTTGTCCTCACTCCTCTCCCTTCCTCCCTTCCCCCCTCTCCTCCCCCTCCCTGAGCCCGGCCGGGCGGATGTCCCTGCAGACCACCCTCGGCAGCGCCTTTCCATTGAAGAGCTCGCGGTGCGGTGTCCCGATCTGGCGCACGGCAGCAATCAATTGGGAAGAGAGGGGGGCGGGAGAGGAGGAGGAGGCGGGGGGGGGCAGGACTGGGAAAAGGCACGGGACCTACTTGATCAGGTGACCCGCAGGGGTGCGAAGGCAATTGCGGTCCGCGCTTCGCGGTGTGGATTGAAGAGTTCGTTCGTCTCCAGAAGGGCCGCGCGAGATCGCGAAGATGGCCGCGCTTTACGCAGCGCGAAGCGGCTCGAATTCTGGTGGACCAACATCCAGCCTGTGCGACGCCCGAACCGTTCCCAGGACGGCAGCGACAATATGAACGCCCAGCTGCGGGCGCGGTGCCGCGAGGTGGAGAGCCTGCTAGACGACTTGGGCTCGGCATCCGCCCATCGTTTCGCTGCCGATCACTTTTCACAGCCCGTATTTCGCTGGCCACGACGATCGGGGTATGGGCAGGTTCCTCCTCGCCCCTTCCGCATCCTCTACCCTTTTCCCAAGACGTAGAATGTTCCAGACCATGCTTGCACCTAGGGGTCCTCGCTTCTGTCCCCTACGGATGAGACGGGTCCGTCAGGGTTTCGCTTGGTGGGCTGCCATGGGCGCCTCCTGGGCGCTCCGTGCGCTGGCTGGGTCCGCCGAGGCTTCGCCTGGGGGACGCCCGTGGGCGCCGGCGAGGGAACCGCTATATTTTCTCCGTTCGAGACAAAAAACAGCCTCTACCACCCTCCCGCGCCCGGACTTCGCCCCACCGATCCCCCGTGGGGGATTTATTGGAGTTTGTAGGCGGCTCTCCCTCATCGTTCATTGACCATGTGAGAAATCAGACCAGCCCAGCTAGACCGGGATCGACCCCCCCTTCATCCCTGCCGAAGTAAACCATGCGCGCACCAGTAGCATGGCGAAGAACCCCACCATAAGCAGTTATGAGTACCGCAGTTGTTGGTATTGTTTTCCGTGGAGCTCCCTCTGGGGTCACGAAGTGATGTATTGGGCGGGGGGACCGCATGCGACCTGCGCCACTGGGACCTCGGGTGGAGCTCCCCCTGGGGCCACGAAGCGCTGCACTGGGCGGGGGATATGCATGCGAACTGCTCCATTGGGACCTCCAGTGGAGCTCACTGTGGGGCCACGAAACGTTGTACTGGGTGGAGGAAGCGCATGCGAACTGAGCCACTGGGACCTTCGGTGGAGCTCCCTCTGGGGCCATGAAACGCAGTACTGGGCGGGGGGACCGCATGCGAACTGCGCCACTGGAACCTTCGGTGGAGCTCCCTATAGGGTTATAATTATTGTACTCGGTGGGGGACGCGCATGCGAAGTGCGCCACTGGCTGGGCGGGGGGACCGCATGCGAACTGCGCCACTGGAACCTTCGGTGGAGCTCCCCCTGGGGCCACGAAGTGATGTACTGGGCGGGGGGACCGCATGCGACCTGCGCCACTGGGACCTTCGGTGGAGCTCCCCCTGGGGCCACGAAGCGCTGCACTGGGCGGGGGATTTCCATGCGAACTGGTCCACTGGGACCTCCAGTGGAGCTCCCTCTGGGGCCACGAAACGCTATACTTGGTGGGGACCGCATGCGAACTGCGCCACTGGGACCTCTGGTGGAGCTCCCCCTGGGGCCACGAAGTGCTGTACTGGGCGGGGGAAGCGCATGCGAACTGCGCCACTGGGACCTCCGGTGGAGTTCACTATGGGGGCACGAAAAGCTGCACTGGTCGGGGGAGCCGCATGCGAACTGCGCCACTGGGACCTTCGGTAGAGCTCCCCCTGGCGCCACGAAATGTGTTAGGGGTGGGCCGAAGTGAGGGGGATGATGGGAGGAGGGAGGAGGGGGAGGAGGAAGGAGTGAGGAACGCGGGGCGCTTTCCTTCCAAAACGAGGACCCGACACCACAGGATGGTTTGGGAAAAAACATGTCCATGAACCCCTTTGAGAGCATGCAACAAAGTCCACACGCGCGCACATGTCGAAACCCTACCGGCCAAATGACGTCGTGCTGCTAGCACTTGTCTACCAGACGCTTACGTATGTTTTCTCGCACAAACAAAATGTTACTGATGTAATGTTCGCGCGCACGCGCTGAAATCATGGGATGGGTTAAGCAGTCTCGTTCTCAGCCCGCAGCCTCATCTCACCACGCGGGGCATTCGCGTTGATCTACCATGCGGCCAGTAATCAAATAATACCATGCGGGCCACATGCGCGCGCCGCCACGCGCACGTGTCGAAGTCCTTCCAAAACCAGTGGCGCTCGACACATTGCAAGATACAGTTGGGAACTTTTGAATATCCTCTCGCTCCGCCAGTTCTGGCCCACCACGCCTCGATGCGACACGCTATCCACGTCCCGGTCCCGAGGCGTCGACGTCCCGAGGTTTTCCCAGCCTCCCGGCTTGCGGAGCGGAGCGACACGCTATCCGTTCGCAGGGCATGGCGTGTCGCAGGGGCCGCCGCGGCGACATGCTATGCAAAAGTCCCTCACCGAAGAGCTTCTCAACAACATATAAAAAGCAAGCAGGTATTCCTCACATCCAAAGTGGGGTCCGTGTTTTCTGTGGACGCCCCCCCGCGCAGGAGCACCTCACCTCCTCCTTGTTTTTCGTGCACTCGTCATCACCCTTCTCACACTCATAAAGTCGCATCATCGTCATCCTTATCATCAACATCATCATCATCATCATCATCATCAGCAGCAGCAGCAGCATCACTATCACCATCACCATGACCATGACCATGACCATTAACATTACCATTGCCACTACCATTACCATTATCACTCGCCATCTCCATCGTCAACAACACCATCGCCATCACCGCCACCACTATCATCACATCCACAGACACTCGCGATATCACATCGTCACCATCATCGTAACACTCATCATCAACGTGATCACCAGTACCCTCACGCACACTCACACACGTACGCACTCATGCACTCATGCACTCATACACTCGTAGTTGAAGAGGTCTCAAACAGGAGCCTCCTTTGTAAGTCAGTTGCGAGGAAATCGCAGGCATGACCCGCCTGCTTATGGAGCCCCCACCTCATATTACCAATCAGGGGCGGCCATCTGAAAAGCGAACACATGGTTCTGTGACCATCGACTCGCCAGAATGCCGTCCCTTGTCCAGCTGCCGAGCGTCCAGAGCTAACTCTAGGCCATCTCGTGCTCTTCGAGGCCGCAGAACTCCACTCTCAGGCCTCAATTTGAATGTCCGGGGCCAGCGGTCAGTCACTTCTGGCTCTTCGCGCTCCCAGAACTCCAGTCTTAGAGGCGGATTTCGCACGTCTGGAGCCATTTGTAGGCTAGGCCATTTCGGGTTGTTCGTGCTCTCAGAACTCCATTCCTGGGGCTGAGGTTGGGCCACTTCGGGCTCTTCGTGCTTCCAGAATTCGGTTCCTGGGTTTGCTCGCCTCGCATTCTGGCATTTTCGCCTGGCAACCTGGCGTCCTGGCGTCATCCTTGGCAGCCGAGGCATCCAGCCACGCGCCCCGCATTTGTGACTGAGTCCCGCAGGTCATGAGAATAGCGACCTTATTCACACACTCATGCACACACCCACACACTCACACACTCACGCAAACGTACACGCACACGCACACACACACATACACACACACACTCATCTTGAGGAAGTCTGGGGCGGGAGCCTCGTCTGTGAGTCAGTTGCGAGGAAATCTCGAGCGGGAGCCCCCTCCCTATGGGGCCCGCGCCTCATGTTATCAATCCAAGGCGGCCACAACACAGGTTTGGTGACACTGGGGAGCTTGGATCTCAAGGAAGTCTCGAGCGGGAGCCTCCTTCCTGGGCTTCTTGTGAGGATGTCCAGAGCGCTCGCCTGCGAGTGAATTGCAAAGAAGTCTCGAGCGGGACACCCTTGCCTATAGAGCTCCCGCATCATGATCTGAATATGAGGCGACTATCGGCGCACCCTGTCAACACACAGGATTGGTGACACCCGGGAGCTTGAATGTCAAGGAGATCTCGAGCGGAAGATTCGTTCCTGAGCACACGGCCAGGATGTCTCGAGCGGGGGCCTCGTCTGTGGGTGAGTTGTGAGGACATCTCAAGCGGGGGGCCCCTCCTTGTGGGGCCCGTCTTGCGGGAGCCCCCTCCCCACTTGGGAGCTTGGATCTCGAGGGGATCTCGAGCGGGAGCCTCCTTCCTAGGCTTCTTGTGAGGATGTCCAGTGCGCTCGCCTGATTGCGAGGAAATCGCGAACGGGAACCCCCTACGCGGTAGGAGCCCCGGTTTCATGATGTGAATATGAGGCGTCCATCTCCAGGCTTTCGATCAAACACATCAGTTTGGCGACACTTGAGAACTTGAATAACAAGGAGAGTTCTAGCGGGTGCCTCGTTCTTGGTGGAGTTTCAGGATGTCTCGACCAGAGGCCTCGCTTGTGGGTGAGTTGCGAGGGAATCTCGAGCGGAAGCCCCAGGCGTGTTTCAGAAGGGCACAGCAAGGAGGTCTTAGGAGTACCCCAGGAGGCCCCGCAGGACGCTCCAGGAGGCCTCAGGAGGATCTAGGACCACCAGGAGGCAACGGGACGCCCCAGGAGGAGGCAGGAGGCCCAATGAGAAAAAAGGAGGCACCAGACGGAGGAGGAGGAGGAGGAGGAGGAGGAGGAGGAGGAGGAGGAGGAGGAGGATCAGGAGGATCATGAGGAGGAGGCCAGAAGAGGAGAACGAGGAGGAGGAGTATGAGGAACAGGAGAAGGAGGAAGGAGCAGGCAAGAAGAGGCAGACGAAGAGGCAGGATGGTGATGATGAGGAGGAGAATGAGGATGAAGATGAGGAGGAGGAGGAGAAGGAGGGAGAAGGTGCCTCCCCCTCCTCCTCCTACTCCTACTCCTCCCCGTGCCTTCCAGAGGCAGGAGGAGGAGTAGGAAGCAGGATGAGGAGGAGGTGGCAGGAGGAGGTGGCAGGAGGAGGAGGCAGGAGGAGGCAGGAGGATGAGGCATGAGAAGGCAGGAGGAGGAGGGGGAGGAGGAGGAGCATGGGTCAGACGGAGACGGGATTAGGAGGCAGGAGGTGGAGGCAAGGGGAAGAATGATGAGAAGGAAGAGACAGGAGTAGGAAGCAGGAGGAGGCAGGAAGAGACGGAGGCGACGGAGGAAGTAGGAGGAGGGGGCATGAGGAGATTCCCACGCAAGTTAATCATGCGGGGTCCTGCTGTCGGAGTATGTGTCATACGAAGGCTGGTTTGGTTTCTTGAAGTTCTGCGCGCACGCACTTCTCATCACACTAATCAGCATCAATCGGCGCCATTGCCGCTGCCATGATCACAATCACCTTCATCACCTACATGCTGACATCAGTATCGCCATCGCCGTCAGCATGGTCGGCGGCGTCATTGGCCTTCCCGTCGCCATCGTCACCATCACCACCACCGTCGCTATTACCGACGTCATCACGACATCGCGCCCACCCGAGTCACCAACCCTCACTGAAGTGCCCGCGCCCCAGCGCGGCCTTCGAGACTTGCTGGGAAGTTCCCACCAGTAAGCGCCATCGCGGCCACATCAGTCATGCCAGACCAATTGGCCGATTTGCGCGCGTGTGCGGTCGCGCGCCAGTGCGGCCGAACATACGCGCATGCAACGTCCGATCGGCAACCGCAATCGTAGCCGAATGGGTTTTGGCAGACAGGTTTCACGTGGGAGGGTGAGAGGTGAGAGACTTGAGCGCATGTTACAGAACATAGCTTGCACAACGTAGGTTGCACGACAGATATTGCAATACAGAGCCTGGTCCACATACTGTATTGCACTACGCAGCTTGCACCACAGCTTGCGCCACACATCATGCACCAACACTGTATAGCTGTGTTGCAAAGCGCATCTGTCATGGGTTCAGGGCGAGCCGCTCTCGAAATTGTGTTGTCTCGCGGGTGTATGATGTGAGCCATCCAGTATCCGACACTTCCATTGGCGAAGAGCGTGTCTTGCCAAAGTTTGCACATCGAGTCAGCATGACCACACTGCATCCCGAAACTCGAAGTCCAAATTGGTGTCTCGGGTAATGGACGAGCCGTTTTCGAAATCGCATTTCGTTTGGAGGTACGCTTGAGTGTGTAATATTATTGCGCAGCACTCCCAACGATCGCGGGTATGGAAATATTGTGTCGTTCGAAGACCCCGTCGAACACAGCTGGTAGCCACGACGTCCAACGTCGCCAACACTTTCACGGACGGAAGTGTATTGGTTTGAAAGATAGCGTTTCCCATCTAGTGTCGCGGAGTTCGCCAATTCATTTTCAACAGCAAGTATGACGGTCCCTCTCACATGAATTTGAGACAAGGTGTGGTCGAGCGTTGCATTGCTACGATCATGACCAACCCTGTGGAACGGCAATATAGTTGTCACCCTTCCAGCCTATCTGGTGGCGTGGCCACTTGATCATCAGAATCTCAGCTCCACAGGTTTTGACCATGTGACAGTACCATCTTCATCATTATGGCAGGCTCTCCCTGCGTTTAGTAGGAAACGGGCGATATGGTTATTAGGAGGGGACTTGAGACAGGAGGGTGGTTTGCAGCATCAGCGATGCACGATGTATTTCGTATCGTCCCCTCGTCTTCCACGGCCCACTGGCACGGATCAGGGCCCAGATCTCCGTGCGTTCGTCTACTCACTGAGGACTTGAACGCGCTCTTCGAGCTGAAGTCTTACCAAGATGAGGTGCGGAAGTGCAGGTCCTCCTCCTCCTCCTCCTCGTCCTCATCATCATCCTCTTTCTCTTCCTCGCGCTGCCCTCTCCTCAGGGACCGCCGGAGCGTGCACAAGCTGGCGAAGAGTGTCCACTTCCAAGTGCTGCCCAAGTATGGCATCGAAGCGACTGATAGGGGCACCGCAGCGATGATGGCTTTTATCTCCAGCTGTTGCTGCGGCGACAATTGGGCGTCGTGGGCCATTCAGGAGAAAGTGGACAGGTCAATGGATCTGTCGTACATTAAGCACATTGAACACTTGCCGTTGGTGGCACCGCCGCCTTAATTAGGAAACGCCGCCGCAGCGGATAATAGTGTTAGGACATATTAAGTGAGCCAGACTGGGTAAGTGAATCAGCGCCGAACTGGCCGACCGGCACGCGCAAAAAGAAAATCATTAGTTTATCATTGCGCAGCTTGGGAGCAAGCCACAGTTGGCACATCAAATACGAAATCTGACAACCAATAGGTGCCCCACGGAAATCTACCATCCCCCAATGGCCCCCAGGGACCCACAGAAGCTCCGAGGCACCTTTGGACCCGCAAGGATCGACGAAGAATGTGCCCCACAAATTCTCATAGCAAGATGTCTTATCGTATGTGCCTACTGTATGCCAAGAAGGCCTAGCCAATCCTCAAGATGTCAACACCGAAGGTCATATTCCCTCGTCTTCCTGTATTGGTAAATGTGTCGCCGTTCCCCCCCCCTCTTGTATGATGGGAGGTCGACCGTGCCGTCCGATGAAGCGCTCGATGTGTATGCTGGAGTGGGATCGCAGGGATCAGGAAGCTGGTGCGGTGGGGGAAAGCAGCCCTCCTACCTTCCGCCCTTCCTCACGCTTACCCTAGTCCCGAGCCTCGGCGCGTGAAGAACGGTGTGAATGAACGTGTTTCCGCGTTGGGGGGCGCCTGTCCCAGGGCGGCCAGATAGGCGTTCCACATGATAGATCTTACGAGTACGAGTTTCCCACTCGTCTTGGGACAAGCGCCCTCCACGGTGGAGACGTTCATGCCATTCTCAGAGTTGGGGGCAACATGGTCCTACACCGTCCTTGGGTTCGTGGCTGAAGTGAGGTTCCGAGGTGCGGATTTCCGTTTTTCGTCTTCCTCGCCCGCGACCCACCCGCAACCCATCCGAGACCCGCCTGCGACCCATTCGAGACTCGCACAGACCCATCCGCGACCTATCCGCGACCCGCCCGCGACCCACCCACGTTGTTCTGACAATGAAATCGGCGCATGCGGCGAGCTCGTCGAGTAGCGTGTCCAGCATATCGGCGCTTTTGGCAGGCTTCTTCGAATCTTGTTCCGAGCCTCGCAGGCTGCAGCTCACATCCCAGCCCCTCTTATTGTTCATCCGAGAAGATCCGCTTCTTTTTCCTTGGCACTGAGATACTCGCGGACTCGATCCCCACAGAGCTTCGCCGATCGTCAGACGGCCCGAGTTTCCATCCAATGCTATTATTCCCACGGCCCCATGAGGAGCTGGCAGTGGATGATGAAGACCCCCTCCCAGCCAAGGGAGCCGCCCCCAGAGGTCAACGCCTTCTGGCAGCCCACGAGGGGAAACAACACCTGTGTGACCGCTCATGCCCCAGAGTAGCCGCACCGCAAACGCCAACCCTGTTCCCCATGCAGCAAGAGTCTGCGGGTGCGGTGCCCCTTTTCGTGTGACGAGGAGGAAGAGAAACGGAGCGATGAGGAGGATGAGGACGATAAGAAGAGTGACGAATAGAAGGAGGAGTGAGGTGGGAGTAGGGAGCATAGTGCCTCCCCCATCTTATGATGCCTCTCCCCTCCTCCGCTCCCCCCACTTTGCTCTCTCCCAGCTTCCCCATCCCCCTCCTCCTCTTCCTCCCCTTCCCCCTCCTCCCTTCTCCCCCCGTCTGGACTGCCGCGCTCAAGCAGTGCCACAATCCACTGGATGCTGCCCAGGCTGGGCAGTCTCATAAATAGCCGATCCGATCCCTCCCCTCCCTCCTTCCTTCACCTCCTCCCCCCCTTCGCCCTCACCCGAATCCGCGTCCCCGTGAGGCCCAGCTCGCAGCCGCCGCCTCGAGCGGCGGGGGGCCCTTCTTCGGCGGCGCGACGCCCAGGCGAGGGGCTGGGCGGCGAGGGGAAAGCTCTCGACGAGAAAGAGGGGGTAAGAAAGGAGGGGGAGGATGGCGATGTCGATGTTATCGTGTGCTAAGTTCGGTAAACATCGAATGACTTCGAATGTGCATATCGCAAAAGGTTTCCTGCACGCCCTCCAGGTGTGCGCAGATGCTTTGGGCGATGGGGTCGTGTGCGAATCGCGTGATGCTTTAGCTTGAGCTGCGAGGCTTCTTGGCTGTACGACCGATCCAGCTATCGTGCCCTCTACTGCTCCACTGTGTTATGCATTCCGCCCAGTGAGGAACAGCATCGATCGGTGCCTGGCTGTGGTCACTGCGCGGAAGGCGGAGGGAAGTATGGAATATGGGGTGGGGGAGGGGGCAGGAGAAGCAGAGGAGGAGGAGGATTCTACGCTTTTCGAGAGCTCTCGGCCGCTGCCAGAAGGTATCCAGTGCTTCCGACTGCTTCTGCTTGGCTTCCGGAGATTTCGGGAGGTTTCCAGGTGTATCCAGAGAGGGAGGAGAAGGGGAGGAGGAAATCATAAGGGGGGTCTGACGTTCGCCGACGCATCTCTTGTTGACGACTTGACAGCATATGGCACCACAGTTCCACAACAGACTACCACTACGACGACACCATTGCTGCAGATAGTGGAATCGAGGGCACTAAGGCATCACATGCGACGCAACACGAATAATACCACGATCATGCGATTCCGTTCCGACAACGGATCGAGGGCCACAAAAGAGTGCATTGTCAAGGATGGTATCAACAGCATACCAAGTACCTACACCGACCAGACAGTGGCTTTGGTTGATTACCATACTGCCCTTTGTACAGTTATCACTCCTACAGCAACCATGCGACCATTACCAGGACACACACTAACAAAGCGATGGTGCGCCGACGACCCCCATGCAAACAGATCTTCAAACGGAGAGACCGTCCCACCGGCAAGGGTGTACTCTACAACGGTTCGTTTGTGCCTCCTGCGTTGACGCACAACGATCACCAATGTAGTAATTGCATGGAAATGAGCAGCAAGGCCGTCACGGTCGAACACATGAACAGGCACCGACAAGGTAATGGACACCGCGCAACGGGAATCAGCGCCATAAAGGTATTCGAGGCTACTTGGCGAAGGTCTTCACCGCGATGCAAGTTGGGCCAGCATGATGATGGAGGACATACAACGGCAGCCCGACTACTTGCACAACAGCGAACAGCCTACAAAGTCAGCAGGCATGCGAGACGTACTCCGAGCAGCTTAACCACCGCTGACATTCCACCAATACCGCGCATGCCACCACCCCAAGCTCAGTTCCATGTGCTACCAATGCGGAGCAGTAATCATCAAAGAATGCTCGCTGCGCCCACATTGGAAGATACCAAAAAAGCGGCACACGCCCGACGATGTGGGCACGAGGCACGATATGTATGACATGCAGTTACCAGTGCCAAAGTTGCGCGAGGTTCGTCAAGCACCCCCAGTCAAGCCCATCATGTGCAGCACCATGGATGACAGCAGTACCGCCATTCCACGGTGGGGAGACCGAGGGGAACCGCGAGAGCACGCGAGCGACCCAGCGAGGCAACACCAAGGCAGGAATGCCGCCTGACTATGCCCACATTGCAAGCTACAGGACCGACATCCTCCCAACCTACGCCAAAGACAAGCACGCAGCAGAGGACAAGATAACAAAGGTCGAGCTACCAGGAGTCGACCCAAACGCCATAAAGCCAACAGTACCGCGACCTACAGGAGGACCGGTGCGAATTGTCCTCCACTTATACAGCGGACGTCGACGATATAGAAATCTGCAGGAATGGATGGAGCACTTCCAACCACCTCCCAGCACGCAAACATACACACTTCCCATCGGTATTGCCAACCACGCCACAGCAGGGGATTTTACCAATTGGGACATGATCGATTTCTGGATCAACCAGACGCGCGAAAAGAAGGTGGCTGCAGTCATTGCGGCCGCCATGCGAGACATGGGGCGCGGCGAGAAAGCGAGACCTATGTGACGCCCAGCGTCAACCTTGGCCACTACGCAGAAGAGAGCAATCTTGGGAGCTAAACCTCGAGGACCGCGAGAACGATCAGATCGACGCCTGGAGCCTGCGGTTGCGCAAGACAGCCCCCATGCTGTACGTCGCCTACGCCACAGGGATACCTGCCATCATGGCGCGCCCTGGAAACGTCCACGACAGCAGGCAATCACCAAGTTGGCTAGCACCCGGAATTTAACATCTACTACTACGACCCAGCGTACGACAGGTATCTTTCGATTTGTGCATGATGTGAAACAAATAGCTCGCAAGACCGCGAGCCTGTTGGGAAATTTTGCGCCAGGACTACCTGCGCGAACATCATGTATGTCTAGACTATGCTGATTCAACCGTGGGCCCGAAGTACATCCACCATTACTCGGGCGCAGCGAGGACGGTTCTTGGCGCAGTGCCGCTGCAAAGACCAAGCCCGCCGGGCTCAACGCGATACTGGCAGCAGCTCTATCGGAGGCTATCCGCTCGAGAAGGGCCACGGCGCCAACCGCAGACCAATGGGGCATCGACGACATCTACTCCGCAGTCTACGCGACATTGGGCCCATTCTTCGGCTTCCAACGCAGCGGCAATGGCGCGGCCCGCGGGCGACTCCGACGACCACGCCACGGGCCAGCTATGTGATTGGTGACTACGCGGGGGACGGCGAAGCGCAACGCTACTCGCGCACGCAGGACCAGAGGACGGGACTGGCATAGTTACTTGAGGGGCACCGAAAACGACATCCATGGCGTCGCGGCCCCCGTCTCGGCTACCTCATCGGCTGTTCGGTAAAAACGGTCATCTCTGCGGCCCGCGCAACTCAGGGCATGCCCCATGGCATGCGATAGTCCGCTTCAACCATGAGCTACATCTGCCGGGGGATCCAGCGCGCCTGGCTCGTGAGGAGGCCACCTCTCCAGCCGACAACGGGGCCGGGCGGGGGCGGCTGGAGCTCGATGGGGGAAGGCGCGATCGAAACTGCCGCCCAACCGCCGGCCCAACCGCCGCCGTCGGCCCATTTCCTTCCCTGACTTGCAACCCGCAGACATGCAATGGCACAAGGGTTCGGACGCGGCCCTGCAGCCGCTGACGCCTGCGCCGCGCAATTCAACCCAGCATGGAGTTGCCCGCGATGGAGCCGCCTGTCGACCTACATAGGGGCGGCAAGTTCGACGGGATCGGCTCGCATATCGCCGCGGTCGGCCTCGAGATCTTCAGCCGATTCCCGAAGGTCGCA